ATTTCTGTATATTTATTCATTGCCAAATCAGTTAAATTCTTGAATATTCAAGTAATTCTCGATTTTCAGGTCCATATGGCACTGAAAAATTTTGAAAATTCAGGCAACAACGTCACTTAATTCTCAATCTATTGAAAATTGAATTGGATGTGATGCTTAATTTTCACGAGAAGTTTAAAAATTGAAACTTCCATTGGAAAATCAAAGATTATTCAACATGAAAACCCCTAATTTCTTGAATTTTCAAGATGAATGAGAAATTTAGTGAACGCTTTCATTTGAAATTAATTTCAACCTCACAACATCGAAAATCAGATGACGCTGTGATTGAAATTTCAAGAAATTTCTAACAGTGCATGTAACTTTGTCGTCGTTAAAAACTCCAAGCTTTTTCCCCTGAAATTTCAAGAGTAATTTTCTAAATGCATAATTACCTTTCGCACAGTAAAATTTGCCACGTTTTTCCACTACTTTTTATTCAACTTTTCTCTCCATGTACCAATGTCCAATCCTCTCATTCATTAATTAACGAACAAGCGCCTAAATAATAGAAATAAATTCCCCTATTCCCGTATCATTGAATCGGCTTTTCACCCTGATAAGCAGCCGATTGAACAAAAAGCCCAGCAGGTTTTCAAACAAAAAACCATCCAACCCACCCCCATAAAAAAAACAATTTTCGTATTTAATTATCTCTCAGATGCAGAAGCCAAATACACACTGAACCTAGGCACACAACCGTATACAAGCGCAAGCCAGAGTTGAATCGCCGAAAAAAAACCTAAAAACGACCAAATTCGTTCAGCCTTTCGATTTCTCACGTTCGCTTGCCGATACCAATTTGCTCGGGCGAATAAAAGCGCCAGTGGTACGGGCTGTTGTGAAGAAGAGAGAGAATGAAGAGAGAGCTTTATAAAAAACAAGAAATTAAAAACAAAAAAAATCCAGAAAAATGCGCAGGAACCAGTGGGATGCAGTCGATCGGATGTACAGGTCCGCTGTTTCCTCCCGTGTGCATTAAACAATGCGACTTTTTCTCCTCGGGCTGTCTCTCTCTCTCTCCCTCCCCCCGGTTTAGCCTCGGGAAAATGACGTACGACAGGTAAATACGCGGGAGCCACTGCAAAAAGGCGGTGAAAGAGGAAATACAAAAATGAACGGAGGGTTTCATAAAAACGATAAAAACAGCGCAAAACAGAGCAGAACAGAACAACAAGATAAAAAATTTTCGTGAATTCCAGATCCACATAGGTGAGTCTGGGCTGGCCCGAGAGTGAGAACGAGAGAGAAAGAGCGATGGGGCGTGGACAAACGAGCGGAAAAATGGCGAGGTTTGGAAATGAGATTTGCTTGGTAAACCGACAATTTATCGTAGGTATCTGGCGAGATCGGCTAGCCCTTGACGTACCTCTGACCAGAGTTATAATTAATACGCTCTCTCGTCACACAGACCAAACGGCCAATATTCATCCTCTTTTCCCTCTCCCCGAATTTTCATCCAGCCCCTCGTCTCACTCACTCCGTCTCTGTCTCTCCGTTGACCAACGATACACGTATTGCCATGGTAAAATGTAGAAAGGACACTGTCCCAGGGAACCATATTCGTACGACACACAAACGGACATACGGTAACTGGCTCGGCTGATTAACTTTGAATGACTGACGCCGCAAAAACACATTAAAACCTCGAATGAGTACAGATGCAAAATTTGGTTGTTGGGAATCAAGTGACCACAGAGCAAATGGCCTGGTGGTCGCACTGCTCTGTCCATCGGAAGCCCATCAAAATATCGCGACACTGGGTTTATAGAAAAAAAGAGCGGGGGATAGGGTCGACCAGTGACATTGGTATTTTGAGGGAAGGGGGCGGATGGATTTGGTGGTCACGATGTTGGTTTTCGTTTCGATGGTTGTTACAATTTTTACGGTCGTCTTATGGCAACTGTATTGTTAGTCAGTTTGGCGGGATGATTGGAGAATCGGTTATTGAATGGGGAAAAGAGTTTTGGGGATTTAATTTCTGAGGTTTTTATTCGATAATTCGTCTGCGTGTTCGGTGGAATGTGAGTAAAGTGAATTTGGAATTGCTCTTGGGCGATTTTGGAGGTGACGGTTTTTAGTTCTTTGTTGTAGGGAGAACATTCTGCATTTTCACAGGGAGAGAAAAATTCTGTAGACATTACCAGAAAAAAAACAAAAATTACGTTTGGAAACGAAGCGGAAGTCGGAACTGAAATTGTACGAATCTCCACATAAATTCTACGATTTGTTCCGTAAAAATTGACCACCGGTCTGATGACTCACCGCTGCGGGGACAACAAGTCGTTCCGTAATTTTTCCCCAACGATTGAGAAATTTGACGGAATGGAACGTAGAAATAACTCACCAGCTTCATAAAAATTGTTGAATGTTCAAGAATTTTTTATTTTGGAGGCATAATAAGTCGGCAAGTTTCTATCAGATTTGACTTCTTCGGGAAAAATTACGTGACAATTTCGTTCTTTGTTCGGTGATGAACCTGAGAATTCACTCTTCCATTCCTATAAAAATTGCCGGAAAACGATTCCCCATCGCAGATTAGCTGAATTGTTCCATAATTTTTATTGAATATTTCTCTCCGTGCACATTATTCGTTCCAAAGGATCGCCCTGATTCAACAGCGTGACAACACCCTTAATTCAACTCGCCGCTTTTGAATTTTTTCAAATTCAAGCACGAAAGCCTTTTATTCAATCTCACAACAAAAATCCTGTGCAGACACCTTCAAAATCCCCTAATTCTGCATAACATCACACAGTCATAACTATTGCCCAGAAATTCCTGCAGACCTCTCGCTCTTGCTCTCCTCACAGAAAACCACAAATTCCTTAAACGTCACCAGTTCCGCGTAATTGGACAGATCCCTCGATTCGGCCGAGCCGTTTCCCCGTCTTTCGACCTTCACGCGTAATAAATCCATCGCAGGACGAGAACAAGACGAATCACCCCCGTCCCTTAATTTCCCTCCTCCGCTTATCCGAAACGATCTCACCAAATTGAGCGGCACAAACCGAAGCCCCTGGCTTTGACTACCCCGCGAACGTGCTCCAACTGTCATAAAACAATCAATCGCCCGAGGTTAATCCCTTATTGAACTTGGTAGATCGTAAAGCCGTCACATACCTCGAGAAAAAAGCCACCGATATCTCAAAAATCATTGGAATTCGATTTACCCAGGTATCGAGTGTACCTCGGGATACCACTGGGAATAGCTTTTAGTGTAACCGAAGACGATACGTTTTCCACAATAAAAATCGTCAACCAGATCGTAGCTCACGTACCGATACGGCCATGTGCAGCCACTTGGCTCTCAACCAATCAGAGTTCAGCAAACGACTAATGTATTCAAATGTAAGCGGTAGCAGTGTTTATGTCTTGACATTGCAAATTGTAGCGGCTGCACCATAACTTATAGTAATTGCTTCGAGCCAGAGTAATTATTTATACTCTTGATATAGGCGAAAGGTCTTACGGTTCGCGAGATGCTTGCCAGTGTGGTTTTCAAGGTGTACCTCTCTTAGTCTTCATTTTGCGAACAAGTTGGTCTAGTTTATTTTTGATGATCAACCGATGTTGATGGGTCATCTGATGTCTTCGTATGTCTGTCTACGCTGCAATGAGACGCGCGTAGCAATCGAACAACTCCCGTCAGAATCTAAATGATGATAGTGAGTGTAGCTGAAAGTCCGAGTCATAATAAGATATCCTTGGTTTTGCTTTCAGAGGAAGAACCTGAAGAGAAATTGAATTCCGTTGAATTTCAGGCGTTCTGAAGCTAATGCTGCCCTCCGTGGAGCGAATGTTGAAGTCGTGATGCTAGAATCCTCTTCGCAGCGGTCGGTAAGTGAAAGGTTCGCTTCCAAAACTCTTATTTGAAGCTTTTTGGTCTCTTTGCACTGACGAATATTGATTTTTCTTTCAAAAGTTCGTTATTATCTTCTCCTTCAATTTTTATATTGGAATGTTGATTGACTCAATGCTCCAGTTTTTGTGCAACCGTTCTTGCTTGTTAGGTAATGGCCATTTACTTGCATGATAAATCATGCATCCATATTGACGCAAAGAAATAACACACGTGTTGGTTTTCACAAGCTTAGCCGATAAATCAGTTACTGTACTAAGGCAGGGGTGGAAAAGCGTTGGGGGTAGTTTTCTGAGCGTAACAGGTGGTTGAAATTCTTGTTCTCTGCATCTTTTTTACTTCTTTATCGGTTAGCAAAGAAAAAGAGAGCAATCCCAGTTCACCTAGTCGGGCACGTTTAACGCCCCTTAAAAGAACTCGGTTAAGACTTTTTTTCATGCTTTTTTTGTGGGAGAAAAAAAAGAGAGAACTTTTTCACGCTGGAGATTTTAATTCCCTGACTGAAAGACAAATACACCCTTTTTGCTTCTCAAAAATTACTTTATTATCAACGACAATACATTCTTTATCACAAACTTGTAATACTAGGATGGCGTTTAAACTGACCAAAAAGTTCTGTCGAAAAGTTACGGTAATCTTATGAAAGGACATCTCCTAGCTTACGCAATGACACGTTAGTTACGATTAAACATCACATATTTACAGTTGTGAAAATATACAATAACTATTGATGACATTTACATTAAAGCTTAAGTTATGTTTCAGAACTTTGGAAGTATTTCATGTATAAATTCTCGATAGAAATCATGCAAAATATCTTAGTCAATTCAATGTTTCTCCACAGGATAAAACCTAACTATCCAACTACTAATAAATACAAAGATCTGACTACGAAAATGATGAATAAATTAAAATATAGCAGTCGCATCCTACCCCTAATCGTATCAAATATCCTGAAAACAATTTAATCACGAATTAATCGAAAAATCAAACGAAACAAAGAAAAGAAGAAAAAATGCTAAAATGGCCAAAAAACAATTTTCAAATTAGTCCTAAATCAAAGTGAAATAAATTTTGGATACAGCGAGTCTCATCGCGATCACCATGGTCTCCACATGTCGCCACCCCCCTGTGACGATCCGGCACCAGGTCCTCCCGGACCCTGCGGATGTCCATTACCCAGTCCCAAAAAAGCCTTAGCCTTCCCGGACAAATCTTCCGCGGAGATGGCATACTCTTCCCTGCTTCTAAACCCAGTCCCATTAGACGTGGTTACAGAGACAGTGGAGCTCGATGCCTCTTGGTATTTCGGCCTCTTATCCGAAATAACAAGAAGCCCATCAGAATGATGTCGCTTGAGACCCTCCCTCCTAGACCGCACGGAACCCCGATTGTACGCCTTATCCGTGATAACTGACAAGGGCTGCCGTAAGTTCTGAACTTTACTACTAGCGTCCCCCGCCTCCTGAGGCACATCCCTCCTCGAAGTTGTGACATCACTCTTTGGTTCAACGAACACAGCAATCGGCGACTTGCGATCGCTTGTCGAGCTTATTTGTGACTTTTGCGTTTCGGGTGAGCTCTTCGACGAGGCGGGACTAGCCTCAGGTATCTTGAATCGATGATGACTTGGGGATTCGGTGTGTCGGTACTGATGTGCCTCGGAGTGATGGCTCTCCTCTCCGAAGCTCGAGGTCGACGTTGACGGACTGAGGAGAGGACTGTGAGCCCGGTGGACAGCTGTGAAGGCCGACGTTCCTCCGGTCCTCGAGGGCTCCGCAGACGGCGGGAAGAAGGGAAAATTGGCGGAGATTCCTGCGGACTGCGGTACCAGCAGCGCAAGCTCACCCGTTGGTAATCTACTCGGGATGAGCTGTACCCCCGATGGTATTTGGATTCTGGCGCTACCGTTGTTGTTCTCATCTCCGCTGTGGAAGTCACTCTGAAAGCCGACCTTCACCTCCGGGAACAACCTGTCCGGCATGTAGGGGACGAAGTGACTGTAGAATGGCGCCATCTGCTGGAGGTTCGTCACGCAGCTGTTGAGGTGGGTCACCAGTCGCTGTTTTACCGCGGAATCGACGTTCTCGAGGTGATTGACGTAGCGGGAAACCTCGCCGGCGCATTCGGAGAAACCAGAGCGAAATTTTGATAGGACAGCGGGATCCGTTGCCACCGCTGTATTCAGCTGTTGACGCTGGACTGTCTGGAGGTGCTTCACTGTCATCTCGAGGATGTCAGCTTTCTCCAGCTTCGAGTGGCGGGCGGGCTGTAATGAACATAAACGGAAATTGTTAAAAGTGTAATTGGAAAGCAATTTTAATATGTAATCACTGTAATTATAGGTTTAACTATGTTTTTTTTTAATTGACGTAGGTAACAATTATTTAAAACAATGGGTGGGGGAAGGGTTGTTTTTAATTGTTAATTACATGGGTGGGGTATTTTTAAACTGAATAATGTGGTTGGAACAATTCAGTAGCGAAGTGGTAAACCGGTTTAAGTGGACTCATCTCCCAGTTGAGTTTTTGAGGAATATTTCCGAATCTAACGGAGATGGCGAAATTTTCGTAATTCCATTTGTTATAGCTCTCAATCCGCTCTACAAAAAAGGGTTTAACAAAAATTTTGCCATCTCCCTTGGATTCCGAGATATTTATTAAAAACTGGTCAATAGTCAAAACTGACTTATACCAGTTAGTTTTACTACTTCGCTACTGAATTAATTTGATGTTCATAATGGCTGCAACTTTACAGGTTAAGGTACAAAGTTTTATGTGATGTATAGCGGGTCTGTATATTTAAAATGAAATTTTCGGAGTCAATGAGAGTTTCTCAAATAGGTAGGGAACTAATTCACCTGTAGATCCGTGAATCATCCGAGATGTCTTCATTCAGTTATTTACTAAAATAGACATTTATGGGAATGTTTTGTATGCTCTTTGTTTTTCCAAGTAGACGGAAATAACGTAATAGTCCTGATGAGGAGTGAAATTTACCACTCGAAACGTTGGCGAAAGTAAATGGATTTTTTGTGTTAATTCATTGTGGACGTTGAAATAGCCGAAAACCGCGACATGGCCTGGAGAAGGACGAGAAATTTTTGTAATCTACACCGATTAGTAATTAATAATCAGCTCGATGATGGTACAAATATTATTGCGTGGGGATGCGTAATTCTCCGGACATGTTTCGACCCATGGAAACAGGTATACGATGAGCTAGGATGAATGAAATCCATCGTGGGAACCCGTTAAGTTTTTCATGGGTCTTCAGAATTTTTTTTTCCCTCCGAGAATCTAGAAATGAAAACTGGTCCATACGAAAACGAGGTTATTCTTTAAATTTCCGAAAAAACTCGGGACAGCCCTTTGGCTACCGATGAATTCAGCGTGGGCGCAAGTCCCCCCCTGGGATTTTTGTGGTGGTCTATTGTGCCCCGAATACTTCTCACTGACGCGGCTTAAGGTATTCCTACACGTATAGATGTTTTCACGATGAACCTCTTGGATGGCCGTCCACCTTAACAATAGGCGTGGGAGATGGGCGCTCGTCTCGGTTACACACGTTGCTGGTGCGTTAAAGAGTTATTGTCTGTGGGAAATATTCCGGGCTTGTGGGATTCATTCATAAAAGAGTGGGCGGTTGCGCATTAAATGTGTACCAGTCTGATGACATGTTGAATGATTTGACTGGGCTCTTTGGTTATTTTAGGTGGACGGAATTAACCGCGAGTTTCCTCGTTTCGGGGAATTGAGAATTAGGGGCTATTGGGGTGATTAGCGGCTGTGGATTTTGGAATTCACTGCATGAAGAGGAAAGTTGAATAAAAATTGAATAAACAGTACGAGAAAATCGTGGCAAATTTTACTGTATGAGGGGTAGTGGAGCGAAATTCTAGTTTAATAAAAAATACTTTTTGCGGAGGATATCTTACTATTCGGTCGATGAAAAAGTACATCTGTGGATGCAAAAATTGCTGTTCCCTGTGCAGTGAAATTGAAGGACATGGGAATGGACGAAAGTGAAATTTTATTATTCCGCGTTTGGCTAAAAATGTAATTTTCAGTCAAAAAAATTACTTCATATGTGGGAACCATTACGCAATATTGAGCAATCATTCACATTCATGAGATAATTTTTGATAGCATGAATGCTAAATTTTACAGTTTCGGCACAAATTGCCCTCACGTTTAGTAAATTTTCTCAAGTCAGCGAAGAAAACTTAAGAAAAGCCAAGTACATTTTTATAGTTTGGCACAGACGACACCATAGATTCAACCATTTTTAATCATCGAATTTGTCAATTAAATATCGTGAGGAAAATTTGAAAAAAATCATGAATATTCAGTCATTCAATTTGCATTTTCCACAAAATTATTATTTTCTTAAACATTCATTGTTTATAAATAAATAATTGAAACTGTTACGATTACAATTGCGAACAGTAGATTCTTACGGTGGAAAATTGATTGTTTATAAATTATTTTTACAAAATGCTCGTAATTTTCAAAAATTTGAATTTCTTGATTATTTCATCAATCTTCCTTCAAAAGTAAACTATCTAATTTTGTTTTCACATTTTAAAAATATTATCTAACGGTTCAATATCGAGATTCAGTTAAAATAATAAAATCATTGCAAAATATCCGGAAACCGGGGGTCAAATGGGGCTCAAATGAAAGCTCTCATGTTCGACTACAACAGTAGGAAAGTATTTCACTGGAGAACAAATAACCAAAGCAGGTGGACATGCTTAAAGCGAACCTTTCTATTCACCTTAGAATTCCGGAAACAAACTAAACTGCACGTAGTTTTCCCTATTTTTAAGCAAAAATCTAATTACGAGATGATGACATCACCCCAATAGCAGCGATAATGTACCGTAGCTAAAGGGCACCAAGAATGCCCTTAAGCACCTGCTAATCTCCCAGGAAGGTTAAAACTGGGCGTATACCTTCTCACCGACAAATCGATGGGAGTCCTTCGAAGGATCTCTCCGAAGATGATACGGTCAACAAAGCCCCAATCTTACTCGTAACCTGAGCCAATTTTTTCATCCCTCTTCGCTCTCAATCTCCTCGCTCTTTCATTTTTTAAATAATTACATTGAGGTTCCCACGAATGTGGGGGGGCGTTACGTGCGGATCTGGCAGGTAGCGGAAGTCATCTGGATACGCATAACAGAGTCCTGTGGTGTACCTCCGGGGCCCTCTTGGGAATTGATTCCCGGGGTATTTGAATAATCTTGAGATTCCGATGCTCAAGGGGTAAATTGTCAGGTTGATTTTTGATTTTTTTTTTTCATTCCTGTTAGTTCGAGGGAACGTTCGGGCAGTGGTCAGGCGCCCATTAGGTGGAGGTCCACTTGAAAATTCTTAGCTCCCTTGTTACGCGCTCGAGTGCCATTGTTGGGTCGAGAGGGAGCGGTGGGGGAATGCGGACGCGCATGGGAGAGAAGGAGAGTGAACGATGAGTTCCCACGGCGTGTCATCGAAAATATTAAAAACAAAGGGACTCTCCGTGAACTGCTGTCTCTACACTCGTCTCTTGTTGATATTTGCGGAAGGCATTTCCGTTAGGGTGTTTTCGGAGATTATTTGTTAAGATGTTTCGGCCAGTTTTGGGAGCTTATTTTTTACGGGTGCACTGTAGAAGTTTCTTGAAATTTCAGTCAGCGTCATTTGAATTTTCGATGCTGTGAGGTTGAATTCAATTTTAAATGAAAGCGTTCACTAAAGAAGTTCTCATTCATCTTGAAAATTCAGGAAAATTGGGGTTTTGATGTTAAACATTTATTGATTTTTCAATGAAGGCTTGAATTTTCAATCTCATTATGAAAATTGAACATCACATACAATTCAATTTTTAATAAATTGAAAATTCAAAAAATTAAGTAATTTGTCAACGAAGAAATACAATTGTCGCTGTTTGAAATTTCAAGAGTAATTTTCTAACAGTGTGGCAGAGGTAGAAAATCTAGGAACACTTACGTCTTTCTTCATTGCTTCGAGGATTAAACTCTTGAGCTCTTCGAGGCATGTATTTATTCGGGCTCGTCTCCTCTTCTCCATTATTGGTTTATTACTCTGAAAAGAGAGGGGGCGTCGAAATTATTTGACGTTCAATCAGATTTTTGTACGCTGTTTGAAATTTTTTCGAATCTCAGTGACATGAAATGCGATTTAGGGGAAAAATTGGTCATGAAATTTCAAGTTTTTGGTAGAATTCAAGGAAATCTATGAGTTCTCAGTGGAAATGACATGGAAATTTCCCAAATTGATTGAATTTTCAATGGAACATGAATATTCAGAAACAAAAAGACATAAATGTTCTATTTTTCCCGGAATTTTATTGATTTTTAAATCATTCAAAATAAATTCACTGAAACATTAGATTTTTCAATGACGAAATTTCCTGAAATTTCAGTGGAAAATAAAAATAAAAAGTTCTGGAATTAAACACGAAAAATTCCGACGAAAATGTTTAACAATATCATTGCAACAAAAAATATTGAAATTCGAGGCATTTTAGAGAGGAAATTTTCAGACTTCAATCGCTCAATAATTTCTTTGCTAATTACTTTAATGTTTAGCTTGATAAAATATAAAAATTGTTGTTTTTACCCTTCGCAATTCTGCCTTTGACATTCCCGTTTGGGTCTGCGCATCGAATTCGTCATCGCTTCCAGACATCTTGTAATTAACGTAATCCACCATTTATCGAAGTAACTACGTAATCACCACACAACCTCAACACTCGATGCAGTATTCCTCAAATTCTGTTTTTATGATAAGAGTTCACGAAAATATCGTGAAATATCTTCATGAATGGAACCAATGAATCCACACGATTAATTCACTAGGCACGTGGTCAATAGTTTTGTCACAGTTGCGTAATGTTTCTTCGTGAACACAGTAATCCAATGTGAGACCTCGGACGCTCCTGGCTCGAGTGAACCCCGAGGTTCAGTCGTCTCCGGAGGGTTTGGGGTTGAGTGCTCGAGGGTAACTGTTTGACGTTTTCAAAATCGTTGAGGAGGCCGCATGCCGATGCATCCGAGAATTACTGGGGTGGGGGAAACGGTCTTTAGTGCGGTGGAGGGGAAGAGAATTAAGGGAGAGGGGAGCCCTTGGCCCTAGTCAGACCTGTTGATGTGTGGGAATTCGCGCCGAGACTGGGGGGCATTCCACGACCACGTGTGCTAGCAATGAATCTTATCTTTCAGAAAATATTTTTTTTATGGACAAATTACTGAAACATCCGGAGAAGTAAAATAATTGAATTGTGGGATGGTTTTAGGATAAAAAAACGTTATTTTGTCTTACAAAAATGTCTGAAGTTGATGAATGATGTATCGATTTGGGTTCTGAGATCTAACACTGTTGGAAATTTTTTGAAAGTTCATGGAAGATATTGTAGTAAATCTCATGAGAGTGACATTAAATCGAATTTTGGGAAAAAATGATTATGAAATTCAAAGTTTTAAGTAGAATTCAAGATGAATTCTGCTTTGTTGATTTCCAGATCATTTGAACAGAAAATTAATGGAGTATTTGATTTTTCAATGACAAGATTTCCTGAAATTTCAATGAAACTCGAAAAAATTGTGTTCGATGAAAACCTTAGGAAACGCAATATTAAGAAAATAGAATTATTCGATTTTCCTCCGCCCTAAATTATTTGGGCAATTATGACTCATTTGTTCATGTTTCACAGAATGGTATTCAATTTTTTATTCGTTCGAGAGATTGCCAACGCTTTTTTTTTAGAAAAGAAGTCCAATTGTTCCAGATCTTTTTAACAACTATTTGAACATGAAGTTGCATTAGCCTTGAATTCTGCACTTTTGTCGTTTCTAATTTGGCTAAATCGCTTGACTCACTCCGTCCACTTGCTTTGACTTACTATTATCATTACTATTTTGTTGATTATGTAGCAGAAATTCCTCTGCATAAATAATACCATGTATTAATGCAAAAATAAATGAAATTAATTGAAAACTTCTGATTTATAAAATCTCGAATAAATGAATTCTACAGTTGAAATATTGTTTTTCCTATTGAATTAGGGAATGATCTCATTCTCACGTAGTCTTGACGACGTTCCATTGACATATGCGTGAGAAAATATTAAAAAATGTACGATCCATAATCCAAGAAACCGTACAATCAATTCAACAATTGCGGTGAGGATATCTGCCTACTCCTGACCTACTTGTATCAAAAAATATACGATACTTTGTAACGCGAAATTTAATAAAAGTGTTTATGTAATGTACCTCACAACAGCGAGCTCAATGGTTCGTGCATGTATCAGTGAATGTACATGTGCGCACGCCAGCCACACGTATGGCGCGCGCAAGGCGGTATTCAATGAAGTACAAATTCACTCGTCTACGAAAAAATTCCCACAGTCCAAACAGTCGCTCTAATTCATCATTTCACTCTGAATTTTTTCCCCCTCATCGTCAGTGGAGGAAAAACGTCGTAATGTCAATGGAAATTTCTGAATAATTACAGATGTTCCCATAATATTTATCAATTAATTAGTTAATCTAAAATGATTAATTATTCATCAGGAATTTGACAGCAGATAAACTAGGACATACGATTCTCATCGGTCGTATTGTTGTTTTTAAATGAGAATGATTATAAACAATTAATTGTAAAAAGGAATATGAATTTGACAAAATTGGATGTCACGTGATTTTCGCATTAGTAATTTATTCTTTATAGTGTTCTTATAGTTTTTGTTAAATAAATAGAGAATCAGAATAGTCGCTGGCACGCTTACACTGTAAACCAGTCCCCTAAAATACTAAAAATATAAAAATATTTGAACTGTAAAAATTCGTTGGGTCGTAGCATTCCATAAAAATCGGGATATTTATACTGTTTGACAGAATCAGTGACTGGCCATTTTGGAGAGGCATTTGCCGCAATAAACAGATAAATTTTTATAGCCACACGATTACGGGCTACACTGAAAAACTTGAAGTTGCCTGGGGGCCCCGCGTGCCTGGCCAGCCTCTAGCCTCACACCTACAATATTTTTTCGTATTTTTTCTTCACTTTATTTCCCTCACAAAGCAAAATGATTTATTGTCCGCACGACAAAAATATATTGATATCAATATTTGCACCCATTTCAAGTGAGTCGCTGAATTATCACAGCTAACGATCACTTTTTTCCCCAATCCATTTTTTTTGTTTTCGTCAGACTCGAACTTCCGGTGGGATACACAAAGAGTTATTGGGGCAGTGCAGGTTTTATTTTCATTTTTTTTTCGAGTTTAATCTTCCGATCGGTTTTACGGAATTTCAATGGTTTATTCGGTGCTGAAATTTTTCGGTGAAGCACTTGATTCTTTACGGGGAGATATCAATCGCTGGCTTTTTGTTGGAGAAAAAAATCATTTCTGCAGCTGTGATTTTTATATTAAGACGTACTTGATGGAAAATAATCTGATTTATTATTTGTTGTTATCAAAATTTTTTATTCAGGGGTTTTACGTTGAAATAATCGAGCAGATGGCGGATAAGAAAATTCAATGGACGAAATATACACGGAAAAAAAACCTTTACACCTTTCACCTTTACATTCAGGCCCTCAGTTTTTCACTCTAATATCCCGACCCTCATTTTTTAACCTACACTTTTTGACCCTTAAATTCTCACACCTAGTGTCTGGCCCTTATATTACACTTGAGAGCGCTCGGTGCAACCCGGGCTGATACGAAATAATCGTCCTCGAATTGAAAAACCCATCCCCCATTCCAGTATAAAATAAAGTATTTTTTTTGTGTAACAGAAAACGATAAAAATTGTGAATTTATTCACAATATTCTTGCAGTTTGAAAATTTCGCAAAATTTCAAATTTTCCTAGGAAAACCTTGAGTACATTTCCCTCTTCGGCCATTGCCTCCTATCGATCGACTGTTATCCCCGAAAAAGGATAGTACCGTCATAACGAAATAGTTTATGGTTTTATTTGGGGTACCTCGCAGTAAACGCATAATGCCCGACGTTAAACTGGATCTTTGTCCCTGAGACTGGTATATTATTGCGCGAGTCCAGAGGTGACCTGCGACGAGTCCCTGAAGTTTGGCCAATGCTCGTTCTCTCTTCATCCCACAGACTGGCTTCTCGTAAGTTCCTCCCTGTTGTGGGCTTATGAAAATTCTAAACTCGGAGGAGGTAAACAGTAATAAGTAGTCTTGGAAACCTTGAGAGTTTGGTCCGTTTACTTAACCTTCGTAATGAGGTGTGGAGAAAAAAATCCTCGGATACCTTTTAAAACATCATCATTGCTATTTAACGCAACTACAAATGGGAGAGGACCGGAGGATCACAAAAAACAATTTCGAATGTTGAAGAGGAAAAAAACAAAACGTGTGTAATAAAACTTGTATTTATCACAAATGGTTTTCAAGATTATATAATAATTATTATTATTACATTTGGATGGAATAAATCGTTTATAAAACATTTACGTTTACATAAATCCAGGAATGCATTGATTAATACGAAAAACATTGTTGAAATGAACGCGAAAAATGTTGAATGAAAAGTGTTATCTGATTTAAGTACGTTATTTCTCCGAGAAAAAAGTTGGAGAAAAATTAAGATGAAATACCAAATTTTCTTGAATTTTCAAGTTGAATGAGACATTTCAGATAATGCTGACTTAAATTTCAGGAAATTTCTAGCAGTGATTTCCTCCGAAAAAGGTATTTTTTACTGAACTACAATTTCGCTCACAAGTTCCCAAACAAATTTTGGTTGAGTCAACAAAATCGTTGGTTAAAAATTACCAAAAAATGAATTGTTTGGTTCGAATTTGAAAGTCTCAAACATGAATAATTGCTCTGCTCTCAACAACAACGAAATTTTCGCAATAAAAATTCTCAATCTTGGCGCACGCTTTGCATGATTGCCACAAAAAATCCTTTTTTGATGATTTTCAACGAACGATTTTTTTTGGCGCAAGTACGACTTGTGTGAGAACTCTGTTATTTTTCTCTCAGTGCAAAGTAAAATTTGCCGCGATTTTCTATCACTTTTTATTCAACTTTTCACTCCGTCTACCTACCATAAAAAAAATATATCAATTCGACTTTTTGTTCCTGGAGAAATTAATACTCCGGTTCTCATGATCTACAATTTCCCATAAATATCCCGTCCGAGCTGTCATAACGGAAGGCCCACGGTCAGATGTCACGACCTTTCTCATTAACCCGTGAGAGAAAAAGCCCGTAAGACCCTCTCACTTGACCGCAAGACTACATCAAGAAAGCCCGAAGGGATCTCATGCCTAAAAGATGGAGTTCACTCTCTAAATTTGGAACGCCCACCCCCACGCTTCTCCGTCCTCTTATTTTCATTTTTTCTCTCTATCCTCGGAAAAAAATCCTCGGGACATGCACCTGCAGGCTGCACCCACGCTCCCCAGACCCCCCCATCACCTCGAAAAGATGAGATTCTGGTTTTTCTTCGTAGAGGAAATATCCTTCCGATATTCATTGAACCTCAACTTCCGCATTTCGTTTTTTTTTCATCATATTTCCATCCCCATTCTTTGGAAATCCGTAATTTCCCACGTGACTACACGCAACACTCTTTTATCCGATATTTGGGGAAGGGGTGGCGCTCGGGAATTTTTTCGCTGAAAAAAAAACAACCCCCACTCGACATCTGGGCATAACCGGGAGTAGTT